CCATTAGCAGGATGTGTTTTTTTGTTTTTTTGCTTTTGGATTTTTTTTTTTTTTGCTTTTGGATTTTTTTTTTAAAATAGACATACATGCTGAAGATGCTTTAGTATGTACACGGATCACTCACAGCTCAGTGTAAATTCTTGGCACACCTAAGTACAGGGATGAATAAACTCCCGTGTGCATGCGTGAGAATTACCAGGCCAATCTAGATGTCCGGAGACCTCAAACCTGGAGTAGTCAGGGAGATGTCGGTGCCAGCAAGGGAGCATGCGGACATTAAGATGAGTATTGAAGGATTGAGTTCTGCTTTAACTTTCATATAAACAGTCAATACATATTTTACATTTTATTTGTATTTATCAGATATTTTGCTGTCCTTTTACGTCTTTTTCCTTATGAGCCCATCTAGTTAAGAGACCAATTTTTCCTTTTTTCAGACAAATACAATGACTTCATTGAAGCAAACCGCAAAGAAGACCCCAATGAGAGACTTAAAACTCTAAGAAATCTGGTGAGTGTCTTCTATCTCTATTATTTCTTTTGAGCAAGTGTTCATATATTTCCCCTGTCTTCATAGACATCTGTAGGTTGCCATCTATGACCACTTTCTGTAAAGGCTAGTTATTCAGCTGTTTACTTCTCAGTCACAGACCTGGAACAAGCATAAAGCAAATGAAAGCATCAGAAATGGCATCCCTTGGGTTTCTAATTTTCAGTTTGAGTCTCATTCAGTTTGCAACGCTGACAAAGGACCATATTTATCTAATGCAGTCCTAAACGCATGTGAATGATGTCTGACTGTCCCTTTATTACCACTTCTTTCATAATGACATTTCATATTCTGTGCAACTCTTTGTTCATCAGTGTTGGGTAGCAGTTGCATCTGTAACTTACTGGTTTAAAGCAAAACTTGTTGTGAGAGAAATATAGGGGGTGCCATTGTGGACCTTCTTCTGGAAATGCAATTAAACTGGCTGACTTAAGTATTTTATGGCTCTGACTCAGAACGAGAATACAGTGCAAACAAGTCAGAGGTCCATATTAGAGATGAGGCTGAGCTTGGTGTGAACCCAGTTTGCCCAAGCTTACTTAAACCTTTGACCGCCACCCACTCCTTGTGACTCAATCCATGGCGACAGTTGTGCTCTCCACCCCTTTGTGACGTATAGCTGTGGGGCACGGAATGTGCCTCCCTGCCACTGATTGGGACATGAGTAGTGGGTGACGTTCAGAGGTTTGGGCGGGCTTTTGTGAACTTAGGTAAACTGGGTTCACACCAAGCCCAGGCTCATCAATAGTCCCTATGTGTTTACTTCTGGACCAGTGACTCAAAATACTAACGTCAAAAGGTCAGCATGGCAGCCAGTGTACTGTTAAGGAGAGGCCAGCAGTGGCAGGCTTCATGGTTATTATGACTGGTTCCTACAACTCTCAGTAAGGCCTGGAGTTTCTGTCATTGGCAGTTAAATGGTGTCCACCCTAAAAGCTGCATTTTAAAATCTCTAAGTAACAAATCAGAAATCAGCTTTCTGCAGCCTTCCGCTTTCTTTGAGTGGGTATGCTAGTGAGTGCCAGTTTCTGATTGGCTGCTTTAGTTTACAATACACTGGTAGTCTTAACATTCATGGTATGAAACCAAAATCTTTCATCTCCTGCTGTGTTTTAATGGCATACCTTTTCTAAATTTTCAGATCCGTGAGTTGCCAGCTCATCATTACCAAACCCTCAAATTCCTTTGTACCCACTTGAAAACTGTGGCAGAAAATTCAGAAAAGAACAAGGTAAGGTAGATAACAGGAGTCTTAATAGTATCAGAAGCCTCCCCCTTTATACTGGCTCGTTAATCATACTGGACTGGCCTTTACTTTCAGTGAGGCTATTGCCCCTGAGTGGTTCTAAGATGGTATAGTCAACAATTTTCAACTTTATTGAGAGGCTTCTCCAAACCAGCATGCCTGGGAGGTTTCAGTGTACGTAATCCAGTTTTTAGAATGTCTTTCCATGAAGAGGTGCTAGAACCAAGAGGAACAAAGCCATTTAAAGCCCTTTAAAAAAAAAAAAAATCATAGTGCATTGGTGTGGTCTATTTAGATTTAGGGTAGGGTGTGGCAGGTTCTGTTAAGCAATCTTGCCTAACCCTGTTTGCCACACCCTACATGGGGCATTAAAGTTTGTCTCAGCAAAAGGAAAAAGCAAACTCAAACTGTTTTCATTTATTAGATGGAGCCCAAAAACCTGGCCATTGTATTTGGCCCAACCCTGGTCAGAGCATCAGAAGATAATATGACACACATGGTCACCCACATGCCCGACCAATATAAGATCGTGGAGACCCTCATTCTGCGTGTAAGTAAACTGATTATTCTTATTGTCCGCATGTTTCTTGCTGGGTTTTGAGGGTTCTGATCGATCTTTCCTTCTGTTCTCAGCATGACTGGTTTTTCGGGGAGGAGAGTGGAGACGAGCCAATTGTAAGTATTGTACTGGATTTGTGTTTTTCTTAGAGGCAATGCCTGGAGGATGGCATGTCTCGAACGTCATACCTGAATGGGGGAATGTTTGCAATTTGTTGATAGCTGCAGTACTAATAAAACGAAATAAAATTGAATGAAATACAAGTCCAAACAATGCCTTGTACGTCTGCATACTGGATGAGTAATTATTCTATAAATTCACAAGGATTGTACTTCAGTGGTTATGGCGTACATTCATATAGTCAGTTGGGTTTATTAGACTAAATACACAGATGATTTCCGAGCTGTCATTTCTCTGATTTTTTTCAAAAGCTGTTGAAGCTGCAGCCAAAACCTTTTTTTTTTCTTTTGGAGTGCATAAGAAACCCCTCTCAGGCTTTAAGTGCCATTTCTGTCCCATAGAGGATATTTATCTTCTCTTCCTGTGCAGAAATCTGTCACCAGGACAGGAAGTAAGGGGCAGTCTCCCAAATGAGACGGCAATAAAAAGTTTTGAGATTCTTAACCTTCCCCCAATCGATCAAAACAAAAAAAAAGGGTTTGGCTGAGTTCAGTCTTTAAGATCAAATTCCTGCTTTCTGACAAGTTATATATTGTCTTTGCACATAGAGATGCCTGACTCACAAGTAACACCATGAAACAAGCCTGAGCGATCCATTTTTTGGTAAAGATGATGTCACAGTTGGGCAGCTATAGATAATTTTGTGACTACATAGATGGGCAGATATAGATGATGGCATTATTACATAGATGGGCAGATATAGATGATGGCATTATTACATCGATGGGCAGATATAGATGATGGCATTATTACATCGATGGGCAGATATAGATGATGGCAGTATTACATAGATGGGCAGATATAGATGATGGCAGTATTACATAGATGGGCAGATATTGTAGACGCATTTTCCTGCTGTAACCAGATAATGAGCAGTTATGAAACATGCACACTGCCCATATTCGTGTCAACTATCCATAAGTTAAGTCTAAAAATTATCATCATTGCATGTATTGATGCAATAAAAGGGTTGTGTGGTAAAAATAATGAAACCTCTCAGTAGACTGCCGAAAATGCACACCATTTTCTGTTCCTGCCAGGGTTTTCTATATGCACCCTATTTACTCCTGGCATTAAGTATGTACTTCTAACAAAAAACAGAGTTCAGCTACAACTCCTTTAAGGCAACACAGCAATATAAATGATTGTGTAGCTAGTTTTTCTTGATTTATCTTCCATAGTGACTGTACAGGGCCTCAAGTATCAACATTGTTCTTAAAGCACTGTGCAAGCAGAAATATAGGTTATACTATCCTTACAATATTACGTTTGTCCAAAAACTAAGCTTCAAAGTAATTTTGTAATAAAGCATATGATAAAAAAATCTTAATGATGGGTTACATTCAGAGAATCTGCTTGTTATATTAATGATTAGATCCAGAGATATAGACAGCTGATCTTCTTCTATGCAGATCTGGACTTTTTCCGTCAGTCATTCTTGGCCTTGCCCCTCTCATTACCTTATTGGTTCTGGGCACCTCATTGGCTTATAGGGAGGCTTTGGAATTGGGAAAGGCAGGGCCAAGCTTGATCAGGCGAGATGCTTTATTCCCAGCAAAGAATTGTCTGTTATGCCTGTTTTTAATTTTTATTCACAAATTATTTCTTTGGAAACTAACAGCTACCCCACTCCCTGCTGTTTTCTTGGTTTCGGTATTGTGGTAAATTATGGTAACGCCTTTATTTATAGCCTTTTTCATTTCCACATATTTAAAAAAACAACTTTTGAACAGTTGAATCAGTTATAAGGTTGCATTCATCTGGCACTATAGATTGATTTCATGTTTTTTTTAGCATCCGTTATGTTCAGTTCTTAAGAATAGCACTAAGTCTATGCGTGTAACGATGTTCAAGAGATCTCTGTTTATTAACTGTAGACATCAGCCCAGGAGGAGGGCACAATAGACAGCCAGCCATTGCCCAATATTGACCATTTACTCCCGAACATCGGACGGACTGGGCTGTCCCCTGGCGAGATATCAGGTAACCCTTGCCTGCACAGACAGTCTAACCCCGCAGGCTAACCCAGCGCATTCTACTTCTGTTTTCTCTAGGTTCTTATGACTTCTTTTTCTGTGGTTCTTTATTTCCGCTTCAACATTCTTCCAAATGCTTGTTGTAAGAGGCTTTGCTCTATTAAAGTGTTTTCTGCTAGCTTGAAACATCTAAAAAGTGTTGTGCGAGTAGTTACTCTCTAACCCTATACATTGTGTGACCTGTATTGAGCCTAGGGGCGCCTTGAGGACTGGGGCTTATTGTTACTGTCATGGAGATGGTTGAACTAGTGGGGAACACTACAATTTGTACACAGGGGCAGGATGTACATGAGTGCCTATTGCAGGACTCTATTTAGTCTGCTGCTGACCATATACAGGCAAACCTTTACCCAACACCATAAATGATCCAGTACCTGCTCATTCCTCCAAAGATCAAGCGTGACTGGTGAGCTTTCTCCTAAAGAAAACACTTGACACTCAATTTCAACACGTCTTTTTTCAGGGAGAACAGGTCATTTTTCATGATCACACAAGTTTCCTGTGATACTTTAAAATCCCCCTCAATCGATTATCACGCTAATCGGTTATGTAATAAGCATCATCCAAGCCTTTATTGGCCAAAACATCTGCCTGTGTGTGACCAGCATGCGGGCCGGTGTGGATGGGCTTGTTGACGTCAGTTTGTGACACTTCTGAGATCATTCAGAATTTGACAGGTCCGGTTGGCAACCTTCTAGCCTGCAGTTGGCCACAGCTGCATGAATGCAGTTCTTACACGATCAAAAGCCCATCAACACTGGCCCTTATAGACAAACTATTCTATTATATGTTATGTATATTCTTTCATTTTAGTCTTTGTGTGCCAAAGTTTTCGTATGGTAGCGCACTGTCTTCAGCACTTTTTAGATACAAACCTGGAGCAAGCATGGTGTAAATGAGAGTCAGAGTTCCTCATCCTTATACTTGTCCTGAGTCAGCAACTCAAGGAGCATTGAAGCCAGAGAATTGGCATGGCTGCCAGGGAACTAGTATTGTCAGTCAGCTAAGGCAGTCTCTGGTGTTCTCTCACACCGAATTCACTTTAAAGTGATATTGCATTTAAAGGCCGGGTGCAATAATCCTACAGAAGGGAAATGTATTGGCGCTATGCTATACTTAATTTTTAGGTGACACTGATGTGCTGGCATTTCAATGCTCTCCTGCAACTGTTACTGTATACATTTCTTTTTTGGGGGGATGTTTGTCATGAGTTCCTGTACCCACAATTTTGTCCTCTTGGAATATGGGAGGAGCCTGAGCTGTAGGTACAAGGGAGCCAGATAAGCAGATCCGAGTCCTATCCCAGGAAGACGGGATAAACAGCTTTGCAAAAAAACGTTTACATTTCCTGACAAAGAAGGCTCAGACTAAAAGAGAAAATGTATGCTGTAACATATAGTCCATGTAACAGGCATAAAGTGAACCTGTCATTGCCCACTTAGTGAGTTGCTGAGCCAGAGCAAGCATCCAGATATTGAAATCTGAACATCGCAAAGGGCAACACCTATTCTTTGGAAAAGTGGCTTGATATGGTTTTAAAATCATTTAATGGAAACGTGCACTGAGAGAAATACTAAAACTACCATTGGGACCACCTTTGGTATATGCTATGTGCCCCGCTGTCCCTGACTTCAATGCTTTGCGTCAAGGAATGTTTTTCTTTCTCTCGGTACAAGTTTTCTTTGAAGTAAATACTAGCCAAAACTTAAAACAAAATGGAAAATACTAGAAGCTCTACCAAACTCTAATTGCTGTCTGTGTTGCTTTTGGGGTGGTTGCCTCCTACTTTCTGTCCTCGTAACAGTGGTCACAGGAATCTGCCCAGTAGTTACTCAGACAGCAGTTTTTTAGATGGAGTGAGGAAGGGGACAGCCAAGAGCATCTTCTAGGTAAACCACACAGGAATCACATTGGAGAGATAATGTCTAATGGTTGATTGGTTTATTGGTCACATGACAATGTGCCACCTCTGCAGAGCTGCTTGGAAGTTGGTCTTGGTTGAAACTATCCCTGACTGCTTTGTTAACTGGCCCGTTAAAGATTCAGAACTGTTTTACAGCTCCCACATGTGTACTAAAGTCATTCTTTGTTCTGTTTCCCCACTTGCCACCTATTCCTTGGCTAAGTACTAGTATCACAGGCACTCTTAGCATATTCCTTCCTACCTGCTGCTGCACTAACCAAGCATGTCCCCACCCCTTTCTTGAGTAGTGTCCCTATACACGTAGAGCCTATCCGGTTTCAAAGGGCTTTTTTGTGTTGTGTTCTTTTCTGTTGTTCCCTGTCTTATCTGAGATCTTTTATACCAATGTTGAAACAGGCGAAATGGGAGGAGTCTACCACACAGTGATGTCACTAGTGGACTCTGTGATGTCAGTGGTGGACAGCTGGAACTGTAGGAAGAAGGAGGATTGCTGTCCACAATGTAGCTGCCTTGTCTGCAGAAACCCCCGTTTTTTGTGAAGTGGACCCTACCTTATCCAGATTTTTTTTATTTCCTCATTTTGAATTTGAATGAAAGAAAATCTGCACTGTACAACTTTGTTTCTGCTCAGCGTATTGTAAACAGATCAATGCTACGTTCTTAAAAGTCTTTCTGCCATCTCTTGTTATTTCTGAAGCAGACCCTGAGGAGAGATAGCATGGTATGGTCTACTAGTCTTTCTGGTCATAAGCATTAGCCATGTGTCTATAAGGGGTGTGGCATGGGGCTTAGCTCTTGCAATAAAAAAAAATGCACATTAATTGACATTATCGATCCATTAGCTGGCCCCTTCTGCTCTCTTTATTCTTGTCTAGCCTCAGTTTTCTTTCCCTGCAGTACAGTACTTGATGTTCATTATCCATTTCATAATGGCAGTAGTAGAGAATGGGCAATCATCTCAAACCTCCAACTGTCCAAAACTATCCTTGTTTCTCCAAAGCCACCAATCACATTTCAGTCTGGCCTGGAAAATGACAGGTGATATATGAGAACTTGAATCTGATTGGTGGCTGTGGGGATGTTATTACAATTTTTAGTGCCGACACCTAAAAAAAACCTGTACTGAGAGATCTATGGAGGCTGTTATCGATGGCGTACTTCTACAATGGTAGTTGCCTGGCTGTTTCTGGCTTCAATACTATGTCATACAAGTCGGAACTTACCCCTGCATGCTTACGTGACTTGGTCAACACTGAGGCACATTGGCTGAGTATAACCAGGAAACTAGTATTTTTAAAAGGAAAGTTCAACCATGGCAGCCTCCATATTTGTCTCATTACAGGTTTTCTTTTAATACACCTGGTCCTCTGTGGGGATACCACCTAGCTTCAGCTGACAGGCAGCATGGAAGTCTCTAATGTGGTCTTTAGTAGCAGGAAAGTTTCTGGGAAAGAAAGTGTTGGGAATCCAAAGTTTTTGCCTTTTGAAATAGATAAAGAGGAGGAAATCTTACTATGGGGACACCTGTTCCTGTTGTTTAATAGGGATTTTCCCTCACTTTAGATAGTTTTCCTTTCACTTCTTGTCACCACTACAGGAAATGAAGAGAAATCTCCCCTAATAGGACACAGCAAATTAGCCATTCACTAATTTATCCAAAAAATTGCCCATTGATATCATTTTAAGCATAATTTTGCCCTTCTAACACATTTCATATTATAAGCAGGAAGGCAGTGGGATAGCAATATTACCCGCTACCATTTTGTGCTATTCTACATGTACAGCTCTTGAAATGTCCATTGCGCACAGAATGTGATGGAATTAAATTGTAGGATATAACAAGTGTAATTGTGGGAAAAAACTAGTTTGCAGCCATGCCCACCAACCAATATATGAAAACATCACTGTGATTCCAGGAAAAGATCTAAATGTTAATAAATCTTCAGCTAAAAAGGAGTTAAACTCCTGTAAGTTGTGCCATAAAAAAAAAAGTAGGTAGTGGGCAAAGGATTATTCGCCAGTAGTGTCTCGATGTGGAGGAGGCCATCTTGATAGAGCCAGGTCTTTTCTAACTCATTTCAGAGTGTCCAGCAAGGAGAACAGTGAGCAGTCACAGTAGTGACATCACCAAATCTCACTGCAAAGCTCATGAGACTAAACGAGGAAGCAGTGCCTCAGATTTCACACTGCAGATATACAGCTAGGAGGATGTAGGTCCTATCCGTTAAACACAACAGGATTTGAGGGATCTCCTTTTTATACAGTTGTCATCAGAATAGGTGTCCCCGTTAGAAGAATTAGATGCTATTCCAGAGACGACTTAAAATTTTCAATTTCCAATCACTTTCTATCAAGGTAAAAAATAGTCACCAGTACAGAGAGGGAAAATAGCCAGAAGCAATAAATAACCTGACAGATGGTCTATCCCTTCAACGCTACATCCTACTACACTACAAAAAAAAAGCTTGGCTGTAGAAGACATTAACATGTGTTGGTTTTGTGGTATAGCTGCACACGAGCCAATGCTGCATTGCTCTTCAGGCCACAGAGCGTACACATCGGAGAGAGCGTTATTCAGAATAGCTGACCTTTTGTAGCCATCCTGTTCTAGAACAAGTCCCACATTCCAATAGACCCATTTATTTGATGACATTCAGACTGTGACTCCTCAGCAGTCATCAGTGATTGCCTGTCAACTCTGCAGTGTAACAATGTCCCAGTCTGCAACCTGAGCCCCTTCTGTGTGTTCCGGTGCCACGGATCCACACGACTAGCCCCATGCTAGACTAGGCCTGTGTGTTTTGTGTTTAGAGCTCATAGCTGCTTCATTTCTTGGAGCTTGCCACAAAGATCAGTGCGCTTAGAGGGGTCTTCTAAACTTCAGTGTTCTTGTTTTTATTTCTAAGAACAGGGTTCCTTGCCATTCCTCTCATTGAGCTGGTTCTGCCTACAATTCACAGCATCCTTTCATGGCGGTGGCTTTCTGTGGTGGAGCTTGCATCTTTTGTGAGCTATGACTATCCCCTTTGTTTTCTTTTGCTTTGACACATTATGTTCTGTGCTTGTCCTTTTCATGAAGCCTTGCATTATTTGTCGCCATCGTGTTCCTCACCATCATACGCGACTGACAGCAGACCTGTTTTCTCTTGTCCTGCAGATTCCGCTACTAGTGACTCGGCAAAATCTAAGGTATGTCAGAATTTTTCAGTTTCAGTTTTTCTTTTTTTGGGGGGGGGGGTTTAATTTTGTGGTTCCTGGGTTATAATTATTTGTCCTACCTGGCAGTTCAAATTAAAAACCACAAGACCGGCAGGTTTTTAATGTAGACGAGGACATCGTAAAAAAAACTTAAGCTTTATTATTACATAGTATGTATATAGCGCCAACAGTTTGCGCAGCGCTTTACAATATAAGGAAGACATTACAATACAATTCAAGACAAGATGGTAAGGAGGGCACTGCCCCTGAGGGCTTACAATCTAAAAGAAGAGGGGGAAGTGATAGCTGTGTGGGGATGAATTATTTGAGAATGTGATGGTTGAGTGGTTAGGTTGAGGTGGGATAGGCTTCCTTGAAGAGATGAGTCTTTAGGGAACGCCTGAAGGCAGTTAAGGTGGGAGATAGATGGACAGGTTGGGGTAAAGAGTTCCAGAGGATGGGAGAAACTCTAGAGAAGTCCTGGAGGCGAGTATGGGAGGAGTGGACAAGGTAGCTGGAAAGCAGGAGGTCAATGGATGAGCGGAGGGGACGGTTAGGGTAATACTTTGATACAAGGTCTGAGATATATCGGGGGGCTGAGTTGTGGATTGCTTTATAAGTGACTGTTAATATTTTGTATTTTATCCTCTGGGCGAGTGGAAGCCAGTGTAGGGATTGGCAGTGGGGAGAGGCAGACACTGAGCGGTTGGTAAGGTGACTGAGTCTGGCAGCTGCATTCATGATAGACTGAAGGGGGGATAGCCTGTGTAGTGGAAGGCCAATGAGGAGGGAGTTACAATAGTCAAGACGAAAGATAAGTGAGTGGATAAGCAGTTTTGCGGTGTCATTGGTGAGGAAGGGGCGTATTTTTGAGATGTTACGAAGGTGAAGGCGGCAGCATTTGGATAGCGATTGGATGTGGGGAAGCTTTGCCCCTTCCCGGCAATATTTTTTATCTAATATATTACACAAAGAACTGTATGCAGTGTTTAATATTCCCTCACTATAGAAAAGAAAAAAAACAAGATTTTGTTGCATGGGTGAATTTATTACCCCTTTTAGGGAGAGGTTGACTTTTTGCTCATTTAAGAAAATTGGAAGGCACTGCCCCTGTGCCCCAATGACTGTTATGCCATATTAAAGTGATGTGTGAAACAAAAGCTGCAGGATTTCTGCACTCCCAGAAATAGGATATCATATGAAAATGTCTGGTGTCTATACAACTGCTAAGTGCTAGTGTTCCAAAGTTACCTGTTCTCCATTGTGTTTTCAAAGATGCCAAACTTTGATGATGACACTCTAATTAATTTCAGTGTATTCATTACAGGACTGCAAACAGATAGACTTGACTAGGTAACGCAGGAGACGCAGTGTGCCTTATGTTTCCTGATTTCTGTTTGTTCTATTTCACAGGGTTCTTGGGGATCCGGAAAAGATCAGTATAGTCGGGAGCTGCTAGTGTCCTCCATCTTTGCTGCTGCCAGTCGAAAACGCAGGAAACAGAAAGACAAGCCCCATCCCAGTAGTTCAGAGGATGAGGTGGATAGCGTTTTTTACAAAAAGGATCTCTCCCCCATGGAAATTTGGAATCCTGAGAGCAGAAAAGGTGAAACTAATAAAGAGGGCAACATCCTTCGAAAACCTAAAGCACTGACACTAAAAGACATAGACACAAGTCTGTACACAGAAGATAAACTAAGAAAAGACAGTACGCCTTCTGATGAGATCACTCCTTGTCCTCCGAAACCCTCCAAATCTCCAAACTTAATGCAAAGACTGGCTGTACCATCCGATGACATAAAGATGTTCCCTTCCCAGGAAAGCATCTCCGATTCAGGAACTGTTCTTAGCACTTCATCCCAGGCCTCCATGCACAAACCAAAACCTAATGTTTTTATCACCCCTGAGATAAAAGGCAACGACTTCTTGTCTGCAGAGGTAAGCTCTGTTACCTCCGACTACTCCACCACCTCGTCTGCCTTCTACACTGCTGGCCTGGAGCCCAATTTGATAAGCCCCGAGGTCCAGTCTGTGGCAGAGAGCAAAGGCGAGGATGCAGATGATGAAAGAAGCGAATTGATCAGCGAAGGCCGGCCCATGGAAACAGACACCGAAAGCGACTGTCCGAGCAATGCTTATGATAGGCAGAGCCAAGGCAAAGTTAAAGAACTGTCTAGAGGTAGCCGAAGGAACTCTGAAGGAAGTGCCAGCTGTACAGAGGGCAGCTCTACCCCGCGAATGGACAGTCGGCGGTTTAGCTCTCATAAACTTATAGAATGTGACACTTTATCAAGGAAAAAGTCTCTGCGACAAAACACAGATAGTGAATGTTCAACTGATGGCAAGAATGTGGACACCTCGGCAGTATCTCCTGTAGCAGAGGTGGCCGGAACTGGAGTGCCATCTGGCAATTTGGACTTAGTAAAAAGTGACTTGGGCTTAGCGTTAAAAAGTGAGCCGGAAAAGCCGGAGCCCGCTTGGAAGCTTAAGATAACAGATAGGCTTAAACTGCGTTTGAAAACCTCAGCAGATGACATGTTTGGACTGGATAGCCAAAAAGCACACGCCGCCGAGAACCGGAAGAAGAAAAACATTCGGCGGAGGCACACGCTAGGGGGACAGAGGGACTTTTGCGAATTAAGTGTTTTAAATGCATTAAAAATTTACGAACCCCATCAGGGAGGTAACGAGTCAGAACTTTCCGCCATGGATCGATTGAAGCCAAAGTGTACATCCCAAGACCACTCGATCTCAGCGTGGCTCAAAAGAGAACGCTTACGCACTAGCACAACGGAACTCAACGCCACTAGCCCCGCTGAACCGCTTTTAGAAAGCACTAAGTTGACGGAACCGACGTCGACAGCTCCTCATTTGTCATCTTCACCCCTCGTCGGCTCCACCGACACCAGCGTCGTAACGGAAAGTCAATCCGAACTCATGTCCCATTCGTCAGCTGATCAGCTCAATGGGGAGAACTTGCAGAACAAAGCTAAGAGCAACTTTAGTTCTGCTGTAGATGCTCATCCGCACAAGCTGTCCGGTACTCAGGTGGTCCGATCCCGGTTCTACCAGTACCTATAAATAAATTCCACATTTCATTACACTCACAAAGAAAAAAAATATATATTAAGCAGTCTGTTTAAAGTGTTTGTACGTGCAAAATAAAAAATAAAAAATAAATCATTCGGTACATCTCTGCAATATGTGCAGCTTTCCCCATGTTTTGTCTCTGCAAGTATCGGAGAATACGTGGTGACCTGCCACAAATCCACTGACCTCACCTGAATTGAGCTGACATTGCTGCCTTTGCTGTACTGATATCCCAGCAAGTGTTTTCAGTCCTGCCGAGTTCTTCTCTGCTTGGATTACAGAACACCTGCCTGTTTTATCTCTATGCTATAAGGGGTAGGGGTGTATTGTAGTCTAGGAGGAGAGCACTTGGGCCGGGGCTAATGACTCTGCTTGGGATTTCAGCTAAGTAGAGGCAGTGTGGTCAGCTCACTACAGAAAACTAGGATCTCACTGGGTTTTTGCAACGGACCACAGGTATTTTTCTGTATTTGTAAGGGATAATACATGTGGATACGTGCGTGCATCACAAAGATGTAGTAAATATGTTGTTTTTATTATTTTGCCCGGACATACAATTGAACTTCGAAGGTAATATATATATATATTTTTTTGTTTTCTGCAGCCTGTATTGAGGCTGAATTCATTCATTGGCCCTGTGGAACGTCTTCGCAGAGCTCAGCTACAGCCAGAATAACACAACACCCTCTCTGTGGGAAGAGCATACCAGAGTCGAACAAAAAATGATTTTTATCCTTAGCTGTTGTACATACCTTCTTTCTGTAACCTGAGGTTTTCTCAATAGCAGATGTTCACCATGTAACAATGTTTTGGGGGTTTTCTTTTTATTTAGTCACTCTGAAAAAGTGCCTCGTTATGAAATCATGTGGTGTGTTAGGGTGCCATATTGTTACCGGCTAATTAGAGGAACCTACTGTGAACAAAATAGACCCGTTTTCTCACTTTCCAGGTTTAATTTGCAGATTTTAACAGTTGGGATTCAGAGCTTCCATTGGTTACACATTCCAATAGATCCTTCGAGTTTTATATATACATATTTACCGACTTTTAATATGGACTTTTGAGTTTTATGTGACTTGAATTTTTAATCTTTTTCTGTAAGATACAGTAACTTAATGTATATATATTACATTGTGTATCTTTTCTTCAGATACCAGATTTGATGTAAATGTTGTATGATAGGCATGTAGATAGTAAATCCTGGGTGGAACTGGTTTCTTTCTTTGAAAAGAATACTATTCTGCATGAAGATCTGCCACCTTGTACCATGCCTGTGTGCATACCTACTTAAACACTGGAAATAAAATTGTTTTGTTGATTTTTTTTTTCTTTTTAATTTAAAATTACAAGGTAAATATATCTATTTTAATGGATGTACAAAGCTTGTTCTGCAGTGTTCTTCAGATGCGTCCTGTGAGGTGTTTGAGAGGACTCTTGTTTTGTCATTACAGTTTTTATTGGTAACAAAAGTTACAAGAGTAATAACTTAAAGCTGACCTCCAGGCACAACCAGAAATAGATGAGTGCTTACTGATTCAACTTTTCTCCAGTTTTCCAGTGGTTCATATTCATGGATAGGGGACTTTTTATGCCATAAGTGTATAGATGTATCTTGGTGCACTCTTTACCAGTTTCTGTTGAAAACCTGTCAAATCCAGGTGGGTGCTTGTAATGACCACGGATGGCACGTGAAATAACGTCAAGTTAAGAAACGTCACCAGCACACCAATAAAAGTGAAATCAGTCCATTTAATGACGCATAATTGTCATCCAAATGCAAGCGCTTTTGGGACCTTACCAGGTCCCCTTCATCACTCTCAGAATGATGAGCCTGATGAAGGGGACCCTGTAGTACCCCGAAAGCGCCGCTTGCATTTGGATGAATTTGTTGTTTTTATGCCACAAGGCTCCTATTTCTTGTCAAAGTAACCGCTAACCACTTTCTGCACTCAGGGCAACCTGTTATCTTCATGCAGCACTGATGTCAGCGCTGTCTGCAGAAGGTGGAAATTGGGAGCGGATAGTGGCTGGGTCTGCACAGCATTTCCATGCCGAACGCCATCGTGTTCTTCAAAACTACTTCAGCTGGTGCCTGTCACTCTGTGGAGCACACTGCTTTAGAGTGCCCAATCCTTCATGCACTGTCACTGATAAGTGAATTAGAACTGCTGTAATGGCATCACAATGCATACATTTTTGTATATCTAAGGAAAGTAGAAATGCAATAAAATAAAGATTAATATTTCCCTAGCTGTTAAAGGAGAACTATTAACAGCTCCCGTCACCCTAGGCTCAGTATACCGCGAGCTACAGCTCGCGGTATACTAAGACGCCGGAGCGGATCCCGACGGGATCCGCCCAGCTGCGTGAGTGACAGCTGGCTCTGCCTATCCAGAGGCAGAGCCAGCTGTACCCGCCCCTCCCCCGTCCGTTCCGCCAGTCAGCGCTGGCAGATCGGAGCGGGGAGAGGGGAATCCAGCCCTCCCCCTGTCACGGCAGAGAGCCGTGACAGGATCGAGAGGTGAGCGAACCTGGTATGTGTTCGCTCACCTCCCGATCTACTGAGCGGACCTGTGACAGTCTCATTGTCACAGGTCGGCTAGAACTATGAGGTGAGTGGAAATCACTCATCTCATAGTTCTCCTTTAAGAAAGGAACATATGAAGTAATGGTTCCAGAGTATGGAAATTGAGGGGCGACAGTGGGCATCCCTGGCAGCTTCCATCGGTGAGAGTAGTCTGATCTTGTCATTAACGCTGCCACTGGATGGCAGAATAGGGCCTGATCCGTGACATCAGATCATTCCCTAAGCCCATATATTGTAGGGTGAGTTCTATGAATCATCAGCCCACCCTGTAAAATGGAAAACAAAAGCCGTGGTATTGATTTAGACCTGGGCAGGATGAATAGTGTTTAAAACTTTCAGTGTTGTCTCATGATTCCCGATATCGGGTAGAACCTACTTGGTCGGTTTGAATAATTTTAATAATAAAGGTGAGAAGTTGAATAGCTAAGATATTAGAGAAAAACTTAAAGTCCACATTTAAGAGTGCAGTGGGTCAATAGCTGCCGCATTGGGAGGGATCTTTTGGCATTACGGAGATGTTATCCACGGGCCTTGTAGAAATGAAAGCTTTAAAGAACAACTCTGAGAATTAAAAAAAAACTTTCCCATGCAGTGAGGCAACCCCCACTTCCACAGCCAAATTGGGATAACACCTATTTTATATTTGTTACATGTTCCCATCAGGGCAAACTACCCACCCCGACCCCCTAACCAACCCCCCAAACAAAACACCCCCTACCTGCCCCGCCATGCAATTTTGCCCATGCATACGTCTATACGACAGGGGCAGAGCAACACTATGCAATACCGATCGCAAAGTAAACAGAAGAGTGGCGCGTGTGGATCTTTTGCAGGCTCAAGGGCAAGGCCGGTGCAAGGATTATTGTGTACACAGGTGAAGGTGCATATTTTCACACCCCCCCCGGCGCCCTCAGTCTATGCAGCCTTACGCTAGCGCTGGCTAGTGTGTAGTGTCCCCCATCGTATGTACATGGAAAGCATGTAGTGACCCCCATCACATACAGACGAGCAGCATGTAGTGACCTCTCTCTCTGGATGTTCAGTGTTCTCTAATACACACATGCAGCAGTCAGTACAGACACGCAGGGCCTCTCCATCAGACACCCACTGCTGCCCTGATTCAGGCTGTAGTCCCCTCACCCGGCAGGCTCCCTCTCCCCCATCCAGGTGCAAAGGCCAGTGAACATCAGTGTCCAGGTCATAGCAGAGCCGCCTCCTCCAGCACACACACACACAGCATGGAGGGTGAGGCCATCCACCCAGCTCTGCTGCCAGTGCTAAGATGCAGGGCCAGTGGTCGCAGTTTTGCAGCGCAGGACCTGCTCAAGGGGCAGCTGCTTTGGGCCCTACAACAATGAATGGGCAGATGCCCCTTTTGCCCTGCGTTAAAGATGGCCCTGGTTCCCATTCACATGGCATAAGCAAAAAAAATAAATAGAAAATGCTTCTTGCAGTTGAAATTTCTTTTGCTTAGGTTAGGATTTTAAGGTCTTCTAGCTTCTATTTATCTTTAATGTTAGGAGGGGCTGTGATGGCTCTTGTCCATTCAGAGGTGGCCTATAAGTGTATTAATGAAGCTTATAAGATAAACGCAATCCTCAAATTTCCTGTCTTTCTATGAGGACAGACCACTGTGAAAGGGCTGAGAAAAACCTGGAATCGACCATCTTTCCTAATGTAACGAAACATCTATAAGGTAAGAATTTTTTTTTTTAAAGTTATTTTTCAGTATACTGTGTGAACACAATGAACATATGGAGGGGTTTTTCTAAACTTGACTGCAAAGTTGGAAATACACTTTAAGGTCTAATTTTGTCTAGGGGGCCCAAATAAAGCAGATATAATTACCTGATCTTTGGTCCTGCCATACTGCTAGACTAGTTCCTGGAACCTTCATCTTCCTTGGGCTCCAGCAGTTAAGGACCGCTGAAATCATATCTGATGCAGGTCTTAGACGAAAAGGAGGATCTGGATTGTGGTTTGAGGAGGGCAAAGGATAGGGGTGTGGCTGAGAGGAGAATATTCCCTGTGGAGGCTTCTGTAATGGAAGATTCTATTGCAAAATAAAAAGCCAATCCTGAAGCATGTTCTATAAGCCCATAGACGGTAGGTGACATATTTGCCATAAAGGTGGCCAGATCTCCAGCTATGGACAAGATAATTGAATGAGTTAGGCATAGGGGGTATGGGAGGAGCACCTTGAGGAATCTATCGGGGTCCTATGTAAAGCTAAAGTAATCGCCAAGAATTAGGATGCGCTCTCTGAATTTGAGTAGAGTGCTTATTTTCTTTAAAGAGCAAATGATTAATGTGGGAAAATACACATTTGCTAAGGTAATGTGGTTTTGGGTGAAACCCTTAAAAGAATCTGAAAATGACCCCGTTCATCATCCCTGCGGTCAGAGAAGGACCACTGAACTTAGCAATGATGAGGCTAACACCT